CAGAAAAGATGATTTCACTTTACTCAGTTCTTTAAATCAGGAAAAATTAGAAACCAAATCATTATCATTTATATCAAACTAAGCTAATAACTAATGTATTTTTCAACCTATTTCACAAATATAAGAAAATTAAAACAGGGATACATATGTGGGAGTTATCCCATGACTATTTTTAAATAACTAAAAATGTAATAGAAGTCCATCAAGTAATCAAAAGCAACCCTTAAAAGTTGGTTCTCAGTAGGAATAAATAAAACATACACACACTGAGTTTTGAGATATGCCATTACTAGAGTACAAAATAAAGGCAAGGGTGAAAAGAACACCCAACTAAGAGGAAGCTTCTAACTCCAGATACTTTAGTAGCATCACTTACCTCTCCAGATATCAGTTACCTTTTCTGTAAAAAGGGACTAGTCTATGACCTATCTATGATAATTCAGCATTATTATTTTCCAACCCCATACATCTTTATTTCAATGTCCAACTCACAAATTCCTTTGTGAAAAACTAAATAAAATAGGAGTCAATTAATCTAACTTGCTATCATTGAGGTAGAACTGTCTTTCATATAACACAACAGTTATAATTATTTTTATTTAAAATTTCTGAGAAAGATTCTACAGACATCAGCAAGCTCCATATTATGTAATCAGGAATTTCTACTTTACAGTTAACTCACTTTTACCCAGAAATTTAATTTCTTACCTAACTAATATCTGAGTGTCAATAGATCACTTAAAAACAAGATCCATGCCGAAACCGGCTTGGAAATTTTGATTAAGAGATTAATTATAACTAAATCTATCCCATCTCACACATATAAACAGACTTCAAACATAGGGTGCTTCTTACATTCTTAGTTCATACTAGTATTAGTGACCTTTGGTGATAGGAAGAGGCAAAAGATACAGTTTCACCTGTACCTTAAAAGGAACATGCCTGGCCGAAACCGGTTTGGCTCAGTGGATAAGCGTCGGCCTGCGGACTGAAAGGTCCCGGGTTCGATTCCAGTCAAGGGCATGTACGTTGGTTGCGGGCACATCCCCAGTGGGAGATGTGCAGGAGGCAGCTGGTCGATGTTTCTCTCTCATCGATGTTTCTAACTCTCTATCCCTCTCCCTTCCTCTCTGTAAAAAATCAATAAAATATATTTTTTAAAAAAAAGGAACATGCCTCACAGTTGTTTCCAAAGGTCTAATACGGCCTCTTTCCTTGGGGAGACAGCTTGCAATACATAAGTCCTTTTTTTAATTGGCAGTCTTAAAGTCTGCTATTTGAGTTAATGTTTTACCATCTCAGACCTAAGAAAGGCCCCAATATGAGCCTTCGGGTCAAAGATGTTACTAGATCTGGTGTTGGGATAGTTCTCTGGAGAACTGTTCTATGGAAACTTCATCAATCCCTATCCTCAACTTTGCTCATTCTCAGACATCTGATTATTTGAACAGCTCTCCCTTTCTTTCATTCCATTTATTCCCCTTCTTACTGATTACCATAAAGTAATTTTTTAACTCACTATTATAACAAGGATCATTTTGTCCAATTACCATTTTTCATGACACTTCACATTACATCTATTTTTAATCTTACTAATACAAATGTTTCTAACTCATAACTTTTATAATTACTTATTACCGTTAACTTCAGGACATTCTACCTTATAAATACCACCAGTTTTTCTCCAGGTTAAATATGCCCAGAACCTTTTACTTTTTTACCTAAATTTCAAAATATGTGCCCAAATTCTGATCCTCCCTTATTTCTTTACTCTCAAAATATGAACAAAATATCATATCAACAAAACTCAAGTGAGACTCTAATAATTACTTCCTTGCCTCTTGCATGTTTCCTGCACAAGCCAGGATAGTTAATTAGAACATGGTTTTTTGATGACTACAGATTTACTCTCTTGGTAGGCCAGTTAGTTTCATTTCAAACAGACAAACTATGCTCTAAAACAAAAAACTAAATCCTATCAGCTATCTCTTTTGTCCATTGCTTTTCAGAGAGAGTGGAAGGGAGGGAGGGAGGGAGAGAGGTGCAGGGAGAGGGACACACATTGCCTCCTGCACAAGCCCTGACCAAGGGGCAGGAAAGAGAACATGCAACCCAGGTATAGTCCAGGGGGGATGCTCTAATCACTAAACCATACCAGTCAAGGCCCATCAGCTATCTCTTATCTGGATTTAACCAGAGGAGCTAACTGGCACATTCAGAATATGTTTGAATCCCTGGAACGAACATTCTAATGATGTATCACATAGACATCAGACACTGCATATCCTCTTTTAGCTCACCACTGTATATCCTCTTTTAGCTTACCACTGTTAATTGTTTTAAAAATTTTATGAGTGTTGTCCAATTTATGGCCCCTTCACAAGGTCTCCCACCACTTAGTACTTATATAGTTAGTTTAGGTTACCAATTATACCCATGAACAGAATCCAGCTTTAGATAAACCAAGCAATCAAGATTAATTTTGAAATTCTATTTGTCTTCCAAGATTTTAGAAATTAACAATCACCTTGTTGTCATTTCCACCTTAAAGTTTGATTTCCACCACCACCACCCAGACCACTGGGGAAAAATACAGAATAAAGACAAACTTGCAGAGGATGCCCCCATATCTGACCATAACCCATTTCCAGAACTGCTATAAATCTTAGGAATAAAGTATATTCACATTTTAAGACCTTATATTCACAGTGGTTGCGAAATCACCATGGTATACAAGCACATCTTGATGAAGTAAATGGAATGGAAGAGTGAAAGGAATTACTATATATTATGTGACAGGAAGAGTATTGCTTTCTTTACATTATGTCCCCAGCTAATCCTCAAAACTCGGAGGTATTAGTATTCTTTGTTAACTAAAAAAAAAAAGGAATAAGAAAAACAGAGAAGTTAAGCAACTTAGAGTATAAGGGACTTTGAAGACAGCCAGAATCCTAGCTCTGTTACTGTAGGTGACCAGGGGTTTCTAGTACTAGGTTTACCAGGTTAACTGTATGTGACTCTGGGCAACCTAACATCTCTGAACATGTTTCCTCTTCTGTAAAATGGAGTTTAAGTGAGACACTTCATGTCAAGTGTATAATTCAAAACATAGAATATAGTAAGCTTACTCAATAAGTATCTCAATATAGTAGCACTGGTCAAAGTCAAACTAGCTAAGAAAGTCAGAAATAAAATTCAGGTCTGATTCCCAAGTCCATGCTTTCTTTACTACAAAATACTACAGCTGCAAACACACACTTATTTTTTTTTAATATATTTTATTGATTTTTTTTACAGAGAGGAAGGGAGAGGGATAGAGAGTTAGAAACATCGATGAGAAACATTGATCAGCTGCCTCCTGCACACTCCCTACTGGGGATATGCCCGCAACCAAGGTACATGCCCTTGACCGGAATCGAACCTGGGACCCTTCAGTCTGCAGGCCAATGTTCTACCCACTAAGCCAAACCGGTTAGGGCTGCCAACACACACTTATTATCCACATAAGAATTCATTCTTGAAACATGACATAGATGGGAAACTGATGCTACCTAAATGAGATAACTATTAATGGCTAACTAAACCAACAGAAGTATTTTAGCTCTAATATCTAATAAGCCAGAACCAAGTAGAAAACTCATCAGAAGATACTGTTTAGACATCCAGGCTTTGCTCTAACTACTATAAAATTATTTTCCTCTGTAGAAACTTATCAAACCAACTAGAGGCCCGATGCACAAAATTTGCAATAATATTTAATGTTTCTGCATTTTAAAATTCTAACTTAAAATTCTGACTCATAGATCTAAAATAGTCATTACACACAGAAATGTTCTCCTCGTTCAGTTCAGAATCATGTGCAGGAAACACTGGTTTGTTTCGAGGTTAACGACTCCAAAATTTGTGCAAGGGGCTCAGCCCCTGCTGCTGAGGCAGCTGCCTCTGCCTTGGCGCCGTGGCTTAGTCTGGAAGGTCATCCAGAAGGCCATCCGGAAGGTCATCTGGTCTAAATAGCATATTATGCTTTTATTATTATAGATTGTAAATTAAATTTTTAAGTACCAGAGGTACCCCAAATAAGTCTTCCTGGTTGTCCTGGACAAAGAAATCAGCCCTCCTACTACATTATTTGAACACTGCATCAAATTGAAAAAATCTCAACTTTATTTTCAGAATAAACTACTACTTAATATTGTTATTTATTTATAACTGTACTAAGTGTACTTATAAATTGAGACAACCAAACAGTATCATCACTTTTCCTACCCAGTCCCTTGACCCAAAACAAGCTTTTTTGTTGTAACAATGTTTAAAAAATATCACTTAACAATCTAATGCTGGGGGGGAGGGGGGGAATCTAATGGCGGATAATGCAAAACCAAGGATAGTAGCAAAAGTAAATTTCCATAATAATTATTAATAGGCTTACTATTTCAACCAACTGAGCAACACTGGCCAGGGCTCAATAGGCTTACTATTTCTAACAACTTCCAGGAACAGATTTGCCTTTAAAAAGGATTGCTAAACCTGAATGGGATGCCCACATACATTTATTTTGGCAACTGTAGCCTATTCAGCCAGGCAACAAGCCTCTTGAGAAAAGAATGCCACTTATATTCCGGCGAAACATGTGCCTTGGTACAGAGTCTGAGTTCTAACCAAAGGTAGAACATTTTTACTGTGTGATCACCCTTCAAAAGACAATCCAATCAGAAAACCTTCACTTTAGCAACAAAGCTTTTAGAAAACAGTGTTCATTTTTGCAATAAATATTTAACGTTTCTGCATTTTAAAATTCTAACTTCTGACTCATAGATCTAAAATAGTCATTACACACACAAATGTTCTCCTCGTTCAGTTCAGAATCATGTGTAGGAAACGCTGGTTTCTGTTTCAAGGTTTACGACTCCATACCCATTCATTTTGCACTAATATAACCACTAAATGGAGCTCGAAGACACTGATGATTAGAAGCAGTTAATTGTGTGAGTAATGCCTACCTCCTATGTCCAGACACCGAGAGCCAAAGATGTTTCTGTCAGATCTACGGGAAAAGGAAACAATAAACACCTGTCACAAAAGGGGAAGCCACTGTCCATTCCCAATCCCATTCATTGGCCAGCACCTCCCACCCCCAAAAGAGGGGCTAAGAACCTAACTTATGAGCCTCATGGGGAGAAGGAAAGGCCACCTCCGTATTGGAGGAAAGGGCCTGGTTTTTCTAACTAGTCCTCACTGGGAGAATCAAAGCGAGAGGGAGGCCTTAGGCAAGTCACAAGTCATTTTTTCCTCTCGGGGCCACGCTCAGTTTCTCTGGAAAACACGGCGATGAGCAAGGAGCTTTATGCTCCGGGGCTAAGGGCGAGCTCGAGATCCCTGGAGTCGGCATCCGCAGAAACCCGGCGAGCGTCCTGCCGACACCCCACCTGCGACCGGGGCGGGGGGGGCGGGCGCGCGGGGGGGGGGGGTTCCTAAAGGGGCTGGGGGACCGACCTGGCCCCGAGCCCCGGGCCCGGGGCGCCCTCCCCCGGGCAGCGGGGCCACACCAGGGCCTCGCACCCCCAACGGGGATGCCGCCTCCTCGCCTCACCTGGTCCAAGGCGACATGACGGTCCCAGAACCCCTCCCGGGGCTGCACACACCTTCCCCGAGAAGGTAAGGCCGAATACGGCCCGAGCGGGCTGACC